TTCTTTATTCAAGACATCTTCAGAGGCAACTGAATTACAAAGACTGAGAGAGGATTATGTACACAGGGTGACCTTACAAAACATGTGTTCTGACCTCACTAGGGGAAAGGTCACGGCAGGGTTAGCTCCCGAGGGATAATTATCAGATATGGCCAGTGCTATGTGCTGTCTTGGGTATGAGAGTTTGTTGACCAAACTGGAGTGGTCCATTGAAGAATTGGCGAGGGCCAAGTTAGAAATTGAGAGGGCCACGTTGGAGAACCTGAAATTAAGGAAAGAGCTGGCGAAGTTAAAAGGAGAGGCTGGAGGAGTAAAGCCAGTATCTGACGAAATATCAAGCGAGTGGAAAATTGTGAGTAGTAGGAAGACAAAGCTGGTGGTGAAGAAGCACACGAAGGATACGACAACAACGACAACAACAGCTAAGTGTACCAACCCGTTCAGTCCCTTGATAGACGAATTGGACGTTAGTACAGTCAGGGGCAGGGATGACAAGGAAGGTATAAAAACTTTAATTGTTGGTGACTCACAGGTAAGGTACATGGACAGGGCCTTTTGTGGTAAAAACAAAAATAGGATGAGGGTGTGTTTGCCAGGAGCTGGGGTGGGGGATATAATTGACAGGATGGACAATATCTTGTCTGGTAATGGGAACAAACCCATTATCTGCCTCAGTGCAGGAGGCAATGATATTGGCCGGTGTAGGAGCGAGGAACTTCTTGATAAGTTCAAGGCAGCCATAGATCGTATTAGGACTAAGGGAGGGATCCCTATCATATGCGGTGTCCTGCCTAGAAGGAGAGTTGGCAGTGAATGGTTGTCAAGGGCAGTTGGTGTTAACGACCGTCTTGACAGATATTGCAAGTCAATATCAGTCCCATTCATTGACAACTGGGACAACTTCTATGGCAGAAGGGACCTTTATGCTAGGGATGGGGTGCACCTGTCTAGGGATGGAGTAGCAACCCTGGCTGGGGCTCTAGAGGGGGCAGTTCAAAAGATATAGAAGTCTTTAAACTGCTAAGAGAACATATGGGCACGGGGGTGGAGGAGACTGCAGTGGGAGAGGGTAAACAAGGCGAAAGATTACAGGGAAATAGTGTTAGGAATGATGACAAAACTAAATTAGACAGGGAGTTTAAAACTAAACGCGGTAAGGGGAGGACTCAGAACACGACTAACTTAAATGTATACTACGCGAACAGGAGAAGTATGAGAAACAAAATGGATGATATTAGAGCCTCGGTATGTACCGAAGAAATCGATATAATTGCATTCACTGAAACATGGATCAACCTAGACACACGTGAATTACCAGTCGAATACCAAATTGCGGGTTACAAACTGTTCCATACCGATAGGCAGACCAGGAAAGGAATCGGAGTAGCAATCTATGTTAGGGATAATCTAAAGTGTGAAATAAATACGGAAATAAAAACTGAGAGGAATACAGAAACAATTTGGATAGAATTAAGCGACGGTCGGGAAAAATAAATCACAGGAGTAATATATAGACCCCCCAATCTTGATAGCGTCAATGAGCGACTTATCTGGGATGAAATGCGCAGGGCTTCCACACACAACAAAGTTTGTATAGTAGGCGACTTTAACCTTGGCCAAATAGATTGGACTGACCTTACGGGTAACTCAGAATCAGAGGATTTTCTCGAGACGATCCAAGACTGTTTCCTAAGTCAACATATAACCGAACCCACACGGGGTAATAATATACTGGATTTAGTTCTGTCGAACAGAGAAAACCTCATTAGCAATGTCGAGGTAGATAACGAACTTGCAAACAGCGATCACAAAGAAATTCGATTCCAGATAGATTTTCAGGGCAGACGTAAGGAAAATTCCACTAAAGTACCAGATTTCAGAAGGGCAAACTTTGACAGTTTAAAAAGGCAGCTGAGAGAGGGGGTGTCGCGCTTGGCCGTGAACCTGACAGATGACACCGACCTGATAACGAGATCTGAGATTGCCGAGTTCCACAACAATTTAAATAGTGAGTTACTTAATGCACAAAGGCAGAACATACCATACAAAAAACTCAGACCAGACAACAATGACCCTAAATGGATAAATAATTATTTAAAGAACATCATTGGCCAAAGGAAGGCTATAGGTAGAAGGATAAATCGTGGCGAAATTTACCTCCAGGATTATTATAAGATATTGGCGAGTAGGGTTAAAACCGAGATAAGGAAAGCCAAGAGGAATAATGAGGTAAGGATAGCAAGGGAGGCGAAGACAACCCCCAAAGGATTCTACCAAATGTATCAAACTAAAACACGAGAAAAGATTGGACCAATACGGTCAGACTCCGGCGAGCTCACTGATAACGACGGAGAAATGAGCAATAATTTGAATAAATATTTTTCAACAGTTTTCACCCCCGAAAATTTAAACATGATACCCGAGGCACCGACTCTATTCAGATATAGTGAAGAAAACAAATTAAGTGAGATAGTAGTGACTAGTAACGATGTTAGTAAGCAAATAGACAAACTAAAGCCTAATAAGTCACCTGGTCCTGATGAGATATTTGCCAGAGTATTAAAGGAATGTAAGGAAGAGCTTAGTATGCCCTTAGCAAAGTTGTTTAACATGTCATTAAAAACAGGTGTAGTACCAGAATCCTGGAGGATAGCGAATGTAATACCGATTTTCAAGAAGGGGGATAGATCACTATCCTCTAACTACCGCCCAATCAGTCTAACATCAATAGTAGGCAAAATACTGGAAGCAATCATTTCAAACTCTATTCGAAATCACCTGGAGAAGCACCGATTGATCAATGATTCCCAGCATGGCTTCACAAGCGGACGTTCTTGCCTAACTAATCTATTAACATTCTTTTCATCAGTTTTCGAATCGGTGGACGAGGGGCACAATTATGATGTGGTATATCTCGACTTTAGCAAAGCCTTCGACAGAGTCCCCCACGAAAGACTAATTAGAAAGGTAGAAGCTCATGGCATCAAAGGTGACATCCTTAAATGGATTAGGGCGTGGTTACAGGACAGGAAACAGAAGTGAGCATTAACGGCACTAAGTCCCATTGGAGCAACGTCACAAGTGGAGTTCCCCAAGGCTCAGTACTTGGACCATTATTATTTATTATATACATAAACGACATAGATATCGGCATAGACAGCAACATAAGTAAATTTGCTGATGACACTAAAATAGGACATGTTATCAAATCTGACGAGGACTCGGCAAAACTACAGGAAGATCTAAACAAATTTTTCGAATGGTCTGAAAAATGGCAGATGAAATTCAACGTCGACAAATGTAAAGTACTTAGTATAGGAGATGTAAACAGGGAAACCAGATACCGGATGAACAAAGATGCCATAGAGAAATCCGATTGCGAGAGAGATTTAGGAGTAATGATAAGTAGGAACCTTAAGCCAAGTAAACAATGTGTTTTTGCTCGTAACAAGGCTAATAAAGTACTTGGGTTCATACAAAGGAGTGTTAGTTACAAAACTAGCGAGGTCATCCTAAAACTGTATCTTGCTCTTGTGAGACCACACCTGGATTACGCAGTTCAGTTCTGGTCACCGTATTACAGAATGGATATAGAATCCTTGGAAAGAGTTCAGAGGAGAATGACAAGACTAATCCCGGGCATTAGGAACCTTGAGTATAGAGACAGGTTAAAGCATCTTAATTTGCACTCCCTTGAGAGACGTAGAGCGAGGGGCGACCTGATAGAGGTGTATAAGTGGAAGGCAGGGCTAAACAAAGGGGACATTACAAAGGTACTCAAATTATCCAACCAGGAGCGAACTCGTAACAATGGTTTTAAATTAGACAAATTTAGATTTAGGCGTGAAATAGGTAAACACTGGTTTGGAAACAGAGTAGTGGATGAATGGTACAAGTTACCAAATATCATCATTAACTCGAATACGCTGAATTGCTTCAAACATAGGTTGGATGCTCATATGAGCAATAGGGGTTGGGTGTAAACGGGACTGCCCAGTGTGGGCCAATAGGCCCGCTGCTGTTTCCTCCATGCTTATGTTCTTATGTTCTTATGAGGTCAGGTCAAAAAGCATGACATCCACTAATCCACACACCAATCACCAGAGCAAACATAAGAAGAGCTTATAAGAACGGGCGAGATAATTAAGCTAATGTGCTTTGTCTATGGCCTTGAAACAATGACCCAATGAAATTTTTGACAAGCTTAATTATCATGTCTTAAGTATTACCTCCAAAATTTAAAGAGAGATAAATGGATCCCTTCCATTTCTTGATATGGAATTAAATAGCACAATTACAATATAAGAACGGCATCTGAAAACAGTGCACTGTTCGTTCATATAAGGAACAATAATCATCCCATAGATTGGGAAAACAACTTAGAAGTGTATGAATCATCATGTGTTACAGAAAGACTTCTAGTTGGAGCATGTTTGATAAGAAAAATGAATTCTTTAACCTTACTGAGCGTCAGTACAAAACTGATAATATGTTATACAAATTTATTTGTCAGTGGCCCAAGGTTAAAAATGCTTTGAAAACCTTTGATCTAGATGTATGATAGTTATTTTGTGGGTCCCTTATTTTTGACCTGACGTGACATGACTTGTTATGTCGCCCGTTCTTATAATCTCTTCTTATGTTTGCTGTGTGGTTGGACGTCATGCTTTTTGACCTGACCTCATGTTTTGTAAGGTCACCTTGTGTACATAAGCTCTCTCTCGGTCTTTGTAATTCAGTTGCCTCTGAAGATGTCTTGAATAAAGACGAAAGCTAAGGTGCTCCATTGTTTCCCTTTTCCCTGTGTGATTTTATCAAGATATATATGTATATGTGTGTTTATATGTGTGTGTGTGTGTGTGTGTGTGTGTGTGTGTGTGTGTGTGTGTGTGTGTTTGTGTGAAATCGGTTTTAGCAGAAGTTGAGGATGAATCCATGTTGTCAAGGACGAGGTCGTTGAGGACTATCTATAATAATTTATACTTGTATTCCTTAGACACATGGTCACGGCTGGCGTGGTAGTGGAGGCAGGGTGGGTGTTGTCCCAGGACCAGCTGGCCCAGGACCACCTCCTGCAGGGGTTGTGGGGAGACACCAGAACCACCTGCCGAGGACTCATCCTCGATCTCACCACCAGCAGCAATATTGAGGTCATCCATAGGTAGGGCTTTTAAAGTTGCAAGAAGTTTTCATATCCCATTTTGAAGAAATTTACGGGAGGGGAGAAGTGATAAATGCCAGTGAAGAAATAAGCAAAACATTGAACAACTACTTATCAGTTTTCACAGAAGAAATTCGAGAGGAAATTCCAAAGGTGGAACTGATATTTAGGGGAAAGGAAGAAGATAAATTAAAGAATATCACTATCAGAAGAGAGAATGTTCTTAAGAGGATAAATAAACTAAAGAAGACAAAGTCCCCAGGGCCGGATGAAATTTCCCTCGAGTCTTCAAAAAGTGTAGGGAACAGATTAGCGGACCCCAGGAAAATTTATTTACAAAATCATTAGACACTGGAGTTGTGCCAGACTTGTGGAAACAGGCAAATGTAGTACCCATATTAAAAAAGGGAGACAGAGCATCAGCGTCAAATTACCGGCCGATCAGTTTGACGTCAGTAGTGGGGAAAATTCTTGAATCAATTATAGCAGATAGCATCCGATAGCATCTAGAGAAAAGCAAATTAATCTACGATTTCTCAACATGGGTTTGCAAAGGGAAAATCTTGTCTAACAAATCTGCTGACGTTTTTTAGGAAAGTCTTCGAGGTAGTAGATAATGACGAAAATTACGATAATATTTACTTAGACTTTAGCAAAGCATTTGACAGAGTACTGCATCAGAGGCTTCTGAGAAAAAGACTAATGGTATTGAGGGGAAAGTTTTAAATTGGATAAAATCATGGCTCACCGATAGAACGCAGAGGGTCAGCGTAGATGGTGTTAAATCTGAGTGGGGCCGTGTAACCAGTGGGGTTCCCCAGGGGTCAGTACTAGGCCCGCTCTTGTTCATAATCTACATAAACGATCTAGATACTGGGATCATCAGTGACATAAGCAATTTTGCGGATGACACCAAAATAAGGCGGCAGATTAATTCAGGGCAGGATGCAAATGCATTACAGGAGAATCTAAATAAACTGCAGCGGTGGTCTGAAAAATGGCAAATGAAATTCAACACCAGCAAGTGCAGCGTACTTAATATTGGAAGAACAAATACTGACAATATATACAGCCTTAACAACATCAACCGAGAGAAATCGACTTGTGAAAGAGACCTAGGGGTACTTGTAAGCTCGGACCTATGGCCTAGAAAACACTGCGTTAATGTTCGAAATAAGGCAAACAGAGTATTGGGTTTTATATCTAGAAGTGTAAGTAACAAGAGTGCAGAGGTCTAATTGCAACTATATCTTGCGCTAGTCAGGCTGCACCTCGATTATACGGTTCAGTTCTGGTGCCCTTATTATAGAATGGATATCAATTCACTAGAGTTGGTGAAGCGAAGAATGACGAAAATGATTCCGGGACTTAAAAACCTTCCATATCAGGATAGGTTAAAGAAACTAAACTTGCATTCCCTAGAAAGACAAAGAGTGAGGGGAGATATGATAGAAGTATTTAAGTCAGTGAAAGGAATAAAAAAAGGGGATATCGATAAAGTTCTTATAATATCCGAGCAGGATAGAACTCGGAGCAACGCATTTAAGTTGGATAAGTTTAGGTTTAGGAGGGAGATAGGAAGGAACTGGTTCACAAATAGGGTGGTGGACGAGTGGAACAAGCTTAGCAACTTTGTAGTAAGTGCTGGAACGCTGGAAAGTTTCAAAAGGAGGCTAGATAGATTCATGGATGATAGAGAGTGGTAGTAACTCTCGACAGGAGCTGCCATGCACAGGCCAACCGGCCTATTGCAAACTCGTTATTTTCTTATGTTCTTTTGTTTATATATATATATATATATATATATATATATATATATATATATATATATATATATATATATATATATATATATATATATATATATATATATATATATATATATATATATATATATATGCAAGTAAATCACTGTAGGTGCGTGATGTATATGCTGATAACCACAAGGAAAGAAAACAGTTGCATTTCAGGGGTGAGTACAGACTAGAGCTGTACTCAGTCTGTACTCACCCCTGAAGATGTGAATTACACGAAAGCGCTTGGGAACTTCGTGTTTTCTTTTTCCTTGTGGTTATATATATATATATATATATATATATATATATATATATATATATATATATATATATATATATATATATATATATATATATATATATATATGTGTGTGTGTGTGTGTGTACAAACACTGACCTGCCTCACTAGCCTGAAAGACGTATATATGGACTGTTGAAATGGTAGCCTCCTGTTTTCTAGCTGCAGTCTGTAAAATGTCACTACGACCACTTAGATGGCACGGGCAATCACTGGTGGAGGCTCCTGTTGCTTAAGAACAAGACGAATTAGTAGGCTTTTTTTATAGAAAACAAAGTCTAGGTTTAATTTTGTTACCCTTGTGGTGCCGTAATAGGGTAGTGATCCCTGTTCACACGCAGAGGCCCTTGGTTCAATTTCTAACTTGTGAGTTATTGTTTATAAATGTATATACACACATTTGTGAGTATCATGTATGGGTTGTGTTAGAATTTGCACTTATGACGTTAAAATTAAAGAACATAAGAACATAAGAATGGAGGAAACTGCAGCGGGCTTATTGGCCATTACTGGGCAGTACCGTTTACACCCAACCCCTATTGCTCATATAAGCATCCAACCTATGTTTGAAGCTATTCAGCGTATTCGAGTTAATGATGATATTTGGTAACTTGTTCCATTCATCCACTACTCTGTTTCCAAACCAGTCTTTACCTATTTCACGCCTAAATCTAAATTGTCTAATTTAAAACATTGTTACGAGTTCGCTCCTGGTTGGATAGTTTGAGTACCTTTGTTATGTCCACTTTGTTTAGCCCTGACTTCCACTTATACACCTCTATCAGGTCGCGCCTCGCTCTCCGTCTCTCGAGGGAGTGCAAATTAAGATGCTTTAACCTGTCTCTATACTCAAGGTTCCTAATACCCGGGATTAGTCTTGTCATTCTCCTCTGAATTCTTTCAAATGATTCTATATCCATCCTGTAATACGGTGACCAGAACTGAACTGCGTAATCCAGGTGTGGTCTCACAAGAGCAAGATACAGTTTTAGGATGACCTCGCTAGTCTTGTAACTAACACTCCTTTCTATGAACCCAAGTACTTTATTAGCCTTGTTACGAGCAAAAACACATTGTTTACTTGGCTTAAGGTTCCAACTTATCATTACTCCTAAATCTCTCTCGCAGTCGGATTTCTCTATGGCATCATTGTTCATCTGGTATCTGATTTCCCTGTATACATCTCCTATACTGAGTACTTTACATTTGTCCACGTTGAATTTCATCTGCCAATTTTCAGACCATTCGAATTTTTTTTTTTAGATCTTCCTGTAGTTTTACGGAGTCCTCATCAGATTTAATTACACGTCCTATTTTAGTGTCATCAGCAAATATACTTATGTTGCTGTCTATGCCGATATCTATGCCGTTTATGAATATAATAAATAATACTGGTCCAAGTACTGAGCCTTGGGGAACTCCATTTGTGAAGTTGCTCCAATGGGACTTAGTGCCGTTAATGCTCACTCGCTGTTTCCTGTCCTGTAACCACGCCCTAATCCATTTAAGGATGTTACCTTTGATGCCATGAGCTTCTATCTTTCTAATTAGTTTTTCGTGGGGGATTCTGTCGAAGGCTTTGCTAAAGTCGAGATATACCACATCATAATTGTGCCCTTCATCCATCGATTCGAAAACTGATGAAAAGAATGTTAATAGATTAGTTAGACAAGAACGTCTGCTTGTGAAGCCATGCTGGGAATCATTGATCAATCGGTGCTTCTCCAGGTGATTTCGTATAGAGTTTGAAGTGATTGCTTCCAGTAATTTGCCTACTATTGATGTTAGACTGATTGGGCGGTAGTTAGAGGATAGTGATCTATCCCCCTTCTTGAAAATCGGTATTACATTCGCTATCCTCCAGGATTCTGGTACTACACCTGATTTTAAGGACATGTTAAACAACTTTGCTTAGGGCATACTAAGCTCTTCCTTACATCCCTTTAATACTCTGGCATATCTGTCATCCGGACCAGGTGACTTATTACGCTTTATTTTGTCTATTTGCTTACTAACACTAGTCACTACTATCTCGCATAATTTGTTTTCTTCACTATCTCTGAATAGAGTCGGAGCCTCGGGTATCATGTTTAAATTTTCAGTGGTGAAAACTGTTGAAAAATATTTATTCAAATTATTGCTCATTTCTCCGCCGTTATCAGTGAGCTCGCCGGTATCTGACCGTATTGGTCCAATCTTTTTCCGTGTTTTAGTTTGATACATTTGGTAGAATCCTTTGGGGTTTGTCTTCGCCTCCCTTGCTATCCTTACCTCATTATTTCTCTTGGCTTTCCTTATCTCGGTTTTAACCCTACTCGCCAATATCTTATAATAATCCTGGAGGTAAATTTCGCCACGCTTTATCCTTCTACCTATAGCCTTCCTTTGGCCAATGATGTTCTTTAAATAATTATTTATGCATTTAGGGTCATTGATGTCTGATCTTAGTTTTTTGTATGGTATATTCTGTCTTTGTGCATTAAGTAACTCATTATTTAAATTGTCGTAGAACTCCGCAATCTCAGATCTCGTTATCAGGTCAGAGTCATCTGTCAGGTTCACGGCCAAGCGCGACACCCCCTCTCTCAGCTGCCTCTTTAAACTGTCAAAGTTTGCCCTTCTGAAATCTGGTACTTCAGTGGAATTTTCCTAACGTCTGCCCTGAAAATCTAACTAGAATCTAATTTCTTTGTGATCGCTGTTTGCAAGTTCGTTATCTACCTCGACATTGCTAATGAGGTTTTCTCTGTTCGACAGAACTAAATCGAGTATATTATTACCCCGTGTGGGTTCGGTTATATGTTGACTTAGAAAACAGTCCTGGATCGTCTCGAGAAAATCCTCTGATTCTGAGTTGCCCGTAAGGTCAGTCCAATCTTTTTGGCCAAGGTTAAAGTCGCCTACTATACAGACTTTGTTGTGTACGGAAGCCCTGCGCATTTCATCCCAGATAAGTCGCTCATTGACTCTATCAAGATTGGGAAAAATTGGGAAAAATTAATCACAGGAGTAATTCCTGTGATTAATTTTTCCCTACCGTCGATTAATTCTATCCAAATTGTTTCTGTATTCCTCTCAGTTTTTATTTCCTTATTCATTTCACACTTCAGATTATCCCTAACATAGATTGCTACTCCGCCTCCTTTCCTGGTCTGCCTATCGGTATGGAACAATTTGTAATATTAAAGGTCTAGTAGCTTCTTATTTATTGGTTTTTAATTTTTCTTAATAGTATATGATTCCAAATGTTACTAAAATTCATATTAAACTGGATGGACATGAACATGATAATACAACCGTAATTTCAGGTTGGCTGAGGCAGCAGGATTGAGGAAGATGCCAGATACGCACGTCGTGGTAGTGGGTGAAAAGGCTGGGGTGAAGGGGGTCCTTCTTCACCATAGCCTCCGTAACACCATCCATGTCCTCTACCTGGCCCTCACCCTTCATACCCTACCACGCCTCAGTTTCTCACGTCTCAGGAAGATCATCCCACAAGATGGTCAGTACGTGCGGTGGTGTGAAGTGATAAAGGGAAACAGTGGAGCTTTTGTCTTTATTCAAGACATTTTCAGAGGCAACTGAATTTCAAGGACTGAGAGAGAGGTTATGTACACAGGGTGACTTTACAAAACATGAGGTCTGGTAAAAAACATGACATCCACTTATCCACCAACACCACCGAAAGCTAAGGTGCTAAATTGTTTCCCTTTTTCCTGTGTGATTTTATCAAGATTTATCTTATCCACGTTTCCATTCTGAGGGACCTCACGTGGTGTAGTAATTCCCTGTCTGTATGTGTGTGTGTGTAATAATAATAATAATAATAATAATAATAATAATAATAATAATGATAATGATAATAATAATAATAATAATAATTAACGGTTTATTGAAAGAGCGTGGCAGCCGGAAGGCTGAAAATATAGTTACATAATTGGGGAAAGGGTTTCTTGATTTATAAATAATATATAAGTAACATAAGTGATACAAATATGATATATAACAACTAGGTGGAGAAAAGCTTAAACTACAGGGCATTTCAACATAGTGACAGTGCAAATTGTAAGATTGACTGGGAGTGAATACACTGGTTGATTACGAGTTATTGATCATTTTTACAATGGTTGGGACAGGGCTGTTCTTATAGCGATCAGTTCGTGCTCGTATGGACTGGATGCGGTTGTGGTGTCGAACAGCATTTCTTGGGCGAGGGATCTCAGGTGGTAGTAGGAGCCAGTGTCGAGGATGTTAGAGAAGCATCTCACCAAATTTGCAGATGAGGTCTTGGTGATAGTCAGTGAGAGCCGAGAGGGTCAGTGTGTTGAGAGCTTCTTGATATGTGGAGTAGGAAGGGGAGAGAATAATCTTGCATGCCCTCTTTTGCACTTTTTCTAGGTGTTTACGTTGTGTGGCATTTAGGGATGTAATAGTCCCTGTTTCAACAACATAAAAATTATATAATTGGGTTAATTACATTTGATTTATATACCGATTCACCCCTGTAACTTTCCACTGACTATGAGGTGAGGTGTGCCCATGGGAAACAGCGTCATATTATGCTGAGTTAAGGCATTACTTGCCGGCCTTTCTGGCCACCTAAAGGAGGCATTACGACTCAATCCCTCACACATGAAGGACGTGATTAAACGGTCTATTTACATAGCCCCCGTCCTTCTCTTAACACTCATAGCTATAGTGATTAAGTTACGGTTGATTTACACTCTGGAATTGTATCAACAGCAGTTCCTCAATAAAAGGAGAAACAGACAATTGAGTTTTGCTAAGGTTACGCCGTCTCTTAATTTACTTAAATATCCAGGTTCTAGGCGTAACCAAACAAAAAGTGAAGTAAATTAAAAGAGAATAAAATAAATAAAGTAAACCTTTAAGAATTTAATTGATTAAATATTAACACAATAAAGAGCCTCATAGGCTGTCACAACAAATTGATTCACCATCGAAACTTTTAAGACACAAGTGATACAAAACATTGGATTACGTTAACACTGCATAAACATATAAAAACTATCACTGAAATTAACTAACGTGAAACAACACTGAATTACTTGAATACAACTAAGCAAATACTGATGGACACAAACAGAGACATAAATAGGTACTCACATAGATATACCACATTGGTGGCGACAGAAACAACACAAATAAATTAAGAATAAGTAACAAGTGACGAGTGTCACTCAAAGGATGTGGACTGTATGACAAGAGGACTGAACTAACTCCAGTCAGTTGGTGGGTCCTATATATAAGGTCGGCTCCCGCCACGCGACCCGCCTGTGGGTCGTTTAACGATGCAGATGGTCGTTAGAGAACAAAGAATGCTGGTTACAATACAAAATAAAGAAACAAGATGGGCTTGAACAAATAATGACAGTTAAAACCTTAACAACACAGGGTAAGGTGACTAGAATATATAATAGTAAATTTAACACATCATTACAGGAATAATATGGAACAACATGGGAGCATGTTATATATAAAAAATATATAAAAAATACGACACGGTCGTAACACTACTCTAACCCAATATAATATAAATGTACCGGCCGAGTTAACTTCGACAGAACTTATAGTTAACCGGCTATAACAGGGAGTAAGACAAGGTCGGGGAGGCATACGTGAGCTTGGGAAGTATGAATGTTGAGTAAACACTAAAGAGCTCGGGTGCAGGAACTCCGAGGGACTTGAGTCGGCATAGGAGGTGGAGACGGAAACTGGGGGATTTGACAACTTCAATGACGTGTGGTTTCCAATTTAGTTTGTTGTCTGTGGTGACGCTGAGGAGCTTAGTAGAATCTACAACCTGGAGTGTGTTGGGACCTAAAGTAATGGAAGGGAGTGGGACTACGTCGGAGGAGAAGTTGATGTGCATAACCATGGTCTTAGTATGGTTGATGGTGACGTGGTTGTTGGTGGCCCAGTTTTGGAGAATGTTTAATAAATCCTGAAGGGCGGCATAGTCGGGAGCAGAATTGTTGACGCTGATCCCAATGGAGGAGTCGTCGACATATTTCCAGCGAGCAGGGGTTTCTCTTCGGGCATCATTGATAAGCATAATGATGCATAGTGGTCCCATCTTGGTGCCTTGGGGGACGCCACAGCTGAGTGACTGAAAGGTGGAGACAACCCTTCGGAAGCGTACAGCTTGGCGTCGGTTACTGAGGAAGTCTGTAAGCCATGGTATAAGACTTCTTCGAGACCGGAGGTAGATAGCTTTGTTGATGATTAAATTGTGGTCGACTAGGTTGAATGCCTTAGTGAAGTCAATGAAGGCGACAGCTACAGACGTTTTTCGTTTCTCCAGATGGCGGTATATGTAGTCAAGAAAGCTGACAAGACTGTGAGTAGTGGAGGAAGTTTTCATATTACCAAATTGCTGAGGATCTATGGCTCCTGCAATATCAGCATAAGCCTAGTCACACACAAAACTTTCACAGATTAAGCTGGGTATTTGGAGGATTGTAATGGGTAGTAGCTGATTTAAGGATTGTGTATGTGTGTGTGTGTGTGTGTGTGTGTGTTTTATGCTAAATAGGAATAATTGCCGATTAGCGATAAGTTCTATGTATTTCACCTTTTTGGAAGCTTCTGATTGGCAATAAAGGATCATGCTGGCGGTCGTATAAACACATGTATGTGAAAATTGCATATAAAACCTAAACATTCTAACGTAACGTAACCTAACCTAACCTATTTTTGGTAGAATTTTGCTATTTTATGATAGTAACCGGCGCCTTACATGAAACAGATCTAATTAATTTCTACTGAATAATCCTCCTCTTTTAGCAGTGCTCCAACTACTAGGCCCATTAATCAGACTCTCATTCTGAAATAACAGCTTCGGTAAACAGACCAGAATCATGCTGACAATCCTTTGCTGCCTCCAGTTGACGATGACATTTAATATACACTGTGAGAATACATCCACGGAAACTTTTCATAAAATCGTTTACTCAGGACTTGAAGAAATACCAGCTAATAACAATTAATACTTATTTTATGTACAGTAATCAAGAGTACGATCAATAATACTGCATAGTCGTGTGACCTAACTATTTCAAAAGATTATCTATTTTAATTCCATAATATTTATCCCCATTATTGTTGAGTAGATTAATATCAAAATAGAGGATATACAATGGATTAAATAAAATTAGAGTCACGTTTTTTGTTTCACATTCACACCCTGTACGGTATTTAACGAAGAGAGCGAGAGAGGTCCAGTACAAATTTCACAATTGGAATTTTAACTCAAAACTTCTTGATATAAGTTCATAATATTTTATGATTACAAAATATTAGAAATTACATGGAACCAATATAATTCACATCAAATGCAAAAAATAAAGTAAATATTACCATGTACCTTTCATACACCCTTCCCTTCATAGAAAACCGTTCTCGTACTATGTAAATATATTTATATAGTACTTTGTAATATTTAGTTTACTTTTTGCATTGGAAGTGAATTATATTGGTTCCATGTAATTTCTAATATTTTGTAATCATAAAATATTATGTTGCCGCCATCTCCCCTAGACGTAAGAAGTGAGCGTGTGTGGGTGTACCGGCGGTGTCTCTACTGCAACAACGGGGAGGCGGACGTCCAACTTATCCACCAGTATAACATCAAAACATTCCCTAAGTCTACTGACAACCTATTCCAAGGTAAGGTATCCATGTTTCATCAATCGCTTATAATGTGTATCTAGTGTGTTCGTTTGTGTAAAGAATATGTGAATCTTACAGGAGTTTTACCCAATAATTTTTTAATTACATTTGATTATCACTAAAACAATGTGACTATTCTAATACTAAATGCTCTCCTATCTTATGCTATATAACAATTTAGGTTGGTGCTTGTCAGTGTACAAAAATACATTAATCAGTTATAGCGGACTTTATCCAGATCTTTTAATACTTTTCGTGTGTGCTTAATTTATTAAAAGCATTCCAACATATTAAATTAGGCCTTAAGAATATAGCGAAGCAGCTCCGCTTTACACCCAACCATTATCACTGAAGTGTGTGTCTAAGATAAACTTGAAATTTCCCGTCCACTTGATGCTAAATATAACACGTTGTTCTATCTAACGATTATATGTCATGTCCCGTGGTAATGCGCATTATAACAACATTAAAGTAACAGATGAGGATTATCAATTTCTTAACAGTTGCTTTAATAGTTTAAGACAAGTGGGTTATGTGAGTCGAGAGGGTCGACTTTACATGATACGCATTAAGGTAACCAATTCAAGTGTGAAAAATGTCTCTCGGACATTCATTAAGCTATTCATCGTTATCTAAGATCATAAGAAGTTTCCAAATTTTCGTATATTTTTTTAAATAATGAAGAAAATTATATTAATGAATTGACAACTCAACTACAACCACAGCTGCCACAAGATTCTCACATCAAATTTTCTTCATTATTTAAACAAATATACAAACATTTGGAAACTTCTCATGACCTTAAATAACAATGAATAGTTTATTATTATAAAATGTTACCTTTGGTTTGTTCAATATTTATCCTGACAGTGATACAGCTGAAAATAGATCCCCAATCAATCACCTTTACATACAGCCTTCCTTTACCAAGTATTGCCAGGTAAAATTGTTAACACGTGACCCAGGGTGGAGTCAGTGAATCTTTGGTTGACTGTACATAACTCACTCTCATTTCTTCTACGATAAAGATCTTTCATTATTTTTTCCTATTATCTCCTTACAGTAGCCTTACTACTCCTGCCCTAACTTCATGATACGTTACATATCCCCCCAATGCCCCAGCAAAAACTACATTACAAAATGAAAAGTTGTTCAAGTTGTCTTGAAGTCTTCTGTGTGTACATAACATATCGACATGTGCCCAACACATTGCTTCAACAGAGCAGATACAAAGTTTGATGGGCCACCGACTGTCGATCGTGTCAGTGCCTCACTTTCCATACATGGACTTCGACAGGGACATCGAGCCAGGCAGCATTATCATAGCCAAGGACTCCATAGACACCCGCTTGATCCACACATTTGCAGCCAAACTTAATTTCACGTAAATATCATCACTTATGTGCATGATTTCAGCTCTTTCAAGTGTTATATCAGTATGCTTTATTCCAACAAATTTGTTTATATTTATTAAATTGTTTTTCTTCATTGTACAAATTTAACTTATTGACAAAATCTTGAAAAATAAAAAGTTCAAAGTTGTTCATAATGCACGAAGTCGTTCAACTACCATTGCATAAAATTGTATACATAAAAAAACACATAAAACAAATACGTATACTGTACATATAATGACAGAAATACTTACACACACACACACACAAACACACGCATACACACATACACACACACACCACCAATGTATGTAATAAGTCATTTATGTCCAATGTATATTTTCGGCCTTCGGGCTGCAGAACTTTTTCAATAAACCGAAATTATTATTTTTATTATTATAATTATTATTATTATTATTATTACACATACACACACTACTACTACTACTTTGCTGTTACTTAGAGTCGAGTATGACGATCATCCAGCTAGGAGACAATGATAGGAGCTTTGAAGGATGTCACCTTCGTTGGTGAGTTCTGTGGTATCTAAAGAGGCCGATACGGGACCGGCAAGGTCGTTCACGTATGTTGCACACTTGGAAGGCTACATTTAGTGCGGGAGGGGCGGATGCAGCGTCTTTCCGGCGTTGGCGCTTGTCTGCCTCGGTTTGCAGTTGGGATAATTCGAAAGTATTGACACCGCGTGTGGTGCCCCTCTAAGCGTTACGGTGTGGATTAATCGTCTCTCAGGTGAGGGGGTCGATTTATCACTTTTTCAGATTTGTTTTTAAACTGTCCTTATACCTTTTCATTTGCCCGCCAGCGTTATATTTACTATTTATTAGGTGACTGTAAAGTTCCTGCTTTGGTAACCTAATGTCGTCCATGCGGGTAACATAGCCAGTCCAACGTAGTTGTTCATGGATAATGGTAGCTTGACCTAGCTCAGTACCGACCTGACCTAGCTTGGAGAAGGACGTCGTGCCTTTGCGTACTCGTGTTAGTGATCATAGAAAATGGCCGCCGGGAGCCGTTGTGTTGTGTTGAGTAAGCTGGAGCTGGAACTGGAGCAGTTGAGGAGAGAGGTGGACATTTTGAAGGGGGAGAAAGAAGCCCTCAGGAATGAACTCCTTCAGGTGACAATCCTGCCTAACAGGACACCTACGAATGAGGGTTGGGAGGAGCAGGAGCAGGAGTGGAGAGTAGTTGTCTCCAAGGGGACTAGGGTCAGACTCGGGAAAGCTGACCACGGTGTGGAGTGCCGTAACCATTACCAAATGTTGGAGGAAGCTGGCAAGGAAGAGAACAGGCAGGACGGTGTGGAACCAGGAGAGAAAAGGGCAGTTGTTCAAACCCTGCCCAGTGGTAAGGTCGTGGAAGCTGGGGGCAGCCAGGTGAGGTTCTTTGATAGGACTTTTTGTAAGAGAGATGGGAAACGTAGGACTAGGGTGTGTTTTCCTGGGGCTGGAATAGGGCATGTAGTTGAGAGGATGGATAGGGTCTTGTCAGGGGAGGGTACCAAGCCAGAAGTGTGTCTTAGTGGAGGAGGTGACGACATAGGAAAGGTTAGGAGTGAGGAACTTTTAAGGATGTAAAGGGAGGCGCTGGGGAAGGTTAGAGATAGGGGAGGGATCCCGATAGTATGTGGTGTCTTGCCTAGAGGAGGAATTGGCTGTGAATGGCTGTCCAGGGCAATTGCTATAAATTGCCCACTGAATAAACATTGTGCAAGCAATGGTTGGGCATTCATTAATAACTGGCGATGATTCTATGACAACGACTACCTGTACAGTCATGACGGGTACGCTTATCTTACGCGGGGGTAAAGACGTTGTCTGCTTCCCTGGAACGTGAAGTTGTCACTCCAAAGGAGGGAGGGGGGGGGGTCGGCAGCAGAGAAAGGTCAGGGTAAGTGGGAGACAAAAATTAAGCAGGTCCTGGGGAATAGAATTGGTTACTCAGGACAAGGTGTAAAACAGGAACAGGGAAGGGTAGGTTTAAATGTATACTATACAAACAGTAGGAGCGTTAGAAATAAAATAGACTTGCTGAGAGCGGTTGTATGTACCGAGAATGTAGACGTCATAGCAATCACCGAGACCTGGATGAATCTGGCTAGTAAGAACTTTTTATCTGAGTATCACATAGATGGGTACAAGGACAGGGAAGGTAGGAAGGAGGGAGGGGTCGCACTCTTCGTCAGGGATACATTAAAATGTTGTATTAATAATACAATAAAGGATGAAATAGGAACTGAGTCTGTACGGGTAGAAATTGTAGAAGGAAGAGAAAAAACTAGGGCTAATCCTAGACCTCGAAAGTGGAGTGCCGCAAGGGGACGTCCTGTCCCCACCATTATTCACCATATATACAAGCAACCTACCAGAACCAACACAACATAGCGAACATATCATCTTCGCAGACGACATCACACGAATCATAATACCCTGGGAAGTCAAAAGGCAATGATGGCACTCCATACAGCGCATTCAAAAAAGAACATAAATGATTATGAAAGAAAATGGTTGATCAAAACAAATATTAACAAATTTAAAATCCTACCAATTGCCAAACAAAAGGTCGAACCAATCATCATGGATGAAGAAATATACCTATACGCCAATGAAAGTCCCATATTAGGACTCAAGATACAAAACCCGGATACCAAAGCTTCATTACAGTAAAGAAAAAGTCCTAACTTGGAGTACTGCTCTCTTTATCTGGGGTGGCTCTTCTTCTGTCCAGCTATTAGATAGGTTGGAATCAAAGGCATCTCGTCTTATTAACTCTCCTCCTTTAGTTGATATATAATCTCTTTTCCCTTTCTCTTCACCACAATGTTGCTTCACTCTCGCTGTTTTACAGGTACTTTAACGGGCAATGTTCGGTGGATTTGACATCCTGTGTGCTGCCGGCAAGGCAGTGGGCTCGTAACACACGTCTTGCCCGCGGTGCCCACCGTTTCTCTGTGGATGTCGGTCACACTAGAATATCCCGTTATAGTACCTCCTTCTTTCCTCACACAGCCAAACTGTGGAATGCTCTGCCTTCTTCTGTGTTTCCATGCTCATACAATCTGTCTCACTTCAAAAAGCTGGTTTTCCGGTATCATTTTACTCTTATTGTTTCGCCCCCCAGACCCCGTTGTGGGTCGATGACCTGTGCCCGGGTGGGCTATTCCCCGTAAAAAAAAAAATACGGTGCAAATTTAAAAAAAATAGGTATTCAATAACCTGAATATAAAAAACAAACTGAAACTGTATTCGACACTAATAAAATAAATAATAAGCTACCCGTATTCAGTGACACAAGAATCAAGAACTTACAAACAATACAAAATAAATGTCTACAACTTATATATAACATCAGATATGAACAAAGGATAACAAGCGAAGAACTGCATAAGAGAGCCAATATCGAGGCACTAAATCTAGACATGTACAATAAAGTTAATAGAACGTGGGAACAAGTAGAAGAGTTAGAAGCTGTAACTCACTGGCTCGATAATGAAATGGAAAGAAGAGTGAGAGAACACTCGTGGTTCAGATCCAGCAGAACACGACTAAACAACCCAACACCAATGCCAAGATACAACTAACAACCTCAAAGCAATACAACAGCAAAATAAAACAAAGGATTGAATTCCTAAAAAAAAAAAGTGAGTGACTAACGGACATTATCCTTGGCCTCTCCCTTCCTGCTGTTTTTCCTCCCACCTTTATTAAAGCAACGAGGTCGTCACCTCTTTCTTGAAATACTAGTGACTGCAACGACAAAACATGACCTACTGTAGAGAAAAGTCAAAGGCATGAGAGCTAGAATTTAAATTAGTAGTACAAAAGATCAACAAAGGATTGTAAAATACGGCATATCCAGTTGAGCCCAGATACATTTACACTCCGACGTTCCTTCAAGTTTCCCCCTCATTTACCTCCTCCTAAGACCCCTTGTTAGGTTCTGAATAATAAGTTCTATATACAGGAGAGAACACAAACACCTGTATAGTTTTGTAGGTTCGGTTTACTGGATAAGAGTATGTACACAAAGGGGAGTAGTGCTCTCCTCAGCTAGGCTCCTTGTCAACTGCTATAGACGACGTATGGCAAGTGATACATTAGCAGCTTCCATACGTCGCCAGGCACATTAATTAAGCATGTGGGATATGGTAATAACATTGCCACACGCTGCTAGCTAGGCTGAATAAATAATACATAAATGGAGCACATACATAATATACATACATAATATATAATCCAGCATACATAATATACATCCACCTCCCTCCCCCCTATACGCTCATAGCAAAGTCTTGAGCGGACCTTTTCTTTTGGATCCGTTCTGAGCGTCGAGGGACTTCATCACTGGGAAGGGTATGGGACTCGACACTGGTGGCGGGGCCAGCAGAAGGCATTGTTACGGGGCAGAGAAAACGGCGGTTCCTCCACCACACACGACCACTGGGTAACCGCACCTGGTAGTCCCGTGACCTGCCGAGGCCCATGACTACACCTACTTTGTCCCAACGTAGGGAGGTCGGGTCCTGAACACGGACTTGGGTGCCGACACTCAACCTGGGGAGAGAACGGGCGTGGTCGTTGTAGCGGGCGACGACGTCCTGAACACGTTCGGCGGCTCGGCGATCACAATCCTCTGTCTTGGCCTGCCACTCCTTGGAGAAGGATTGAGGGTGAGCAGGGACACAAGAACGAAGGGGGCGTCCATACAAAACCTGGGCAGGGGAGCGTCCGGTGTAGTTAGGTGTGTTGCGGAGTTCAAGAAGACCCCGGTCGAAGGCCTCGCAGTCAATGTTCCCAGAAGGGGCCACCTTAAGGATGAGGTGCTTCAGGGATTTGACAGCAGCCTCAGCGTGGCCGTTGGACTGCGGGTAATGGGGCGATGACAACACATGCCGGACTCCCCATCGGTCAAGGAACACAGCAAAGTCCCGGCTTGTGAACTGAGGCCCTCCGTCGGTTCGCAGGCGTACAGG